TCTTCCTCTACAACCACTTCCTTGCCCTTCCCCATCTGCCTCACACGCTGGATCCCACCCTCAGGACCTAGACCAGCAGCACCTGAGAAACCACCTGGAGCCGGCTGCGCGGATGGAAGTTCAGCAACAGACAGACGCTCGCCAGCAGCCCTCTTGCCCATGTACGTGGGGAGGAACGTCAAGGGAGGCGCCACTATCTCATCCCCCTGACCCCTCCTGCCCAAACGCCATGCACCCGAACCTGCACCCGTACCTGCACCCATACTTGCACCCGTACCTGCACCCGGACCTGCACCCGTACCTGCCCTAAAACCATCACCTGCCCTGGATCCCAGGCCCACTAATCTCTTCCAGCTATCTACGCCCCTGTCACTCAACCCCCAATCCCACTAAACCCGCTCAAATCCCTGTCCCCTCCAACCTTGCTTTCAACCGCCCCTGTGTGCCCATCAAATCCCCCTGCAGCCCCCCCCCCTGAGGAGCCCCCCCTGTGATATCTTCTAGCTTGGCCAGAATCTTATGAGCCGTCTCTAGCGACCTAGACGGGGCTAGGTTCAGCCCAGGAAACACTTTCTCCTCTGCCCGTTGCTGCTTCTCTCGCTGCTGCTGCTGCTGCCTCTCCTCCTCCTGCTGCTGCTGGCGCTTCTGTCGTTCCAACGGCTCATTCCGCACCTTGCCTACGCCTTTTCGGCCGAACAACCCAAACGTATCCCTTTCCGGAAACAGCCCTCTTGCATCTCCCACCCCTTCGAACGCCCTGTCCCAAGCACCCTTTCTTGCGCCAAGGGAAAACCCAGGCAGCTCCCCGAGCAGAAGGCGAGGCCCGCCGCTGCTGCTGCGAGAGGCAAAGGCATGCGAGCGGCCAGCCTGGCCGCGAAGCCGGGCAGAGGGGAGAAAACTCCCAGCCCCCGCCGAAAAAAGTGCAGGGGGAGGGAGGGGAGGGGCGGATATAGCTCCTGGGAGGAAATCTGAACGCCTTGAGATAGGACCCGTAGAAAAAGCGCTAGGGTCGGGAGGGAAAGAGACGAGGGCGAGATTTTTTGGCTGGTGCAAGGCTCGAGGGCGAATGCGGCGCGCTGACTCGGATCCACTCAGCCAATCAGCGTCTGCCTCGTCAGCGCCGCGACCTCTCTTGGCGGACTGAGTGGCCAAGGGCAACGGGATGGAAGAGGTGGAGGGGACGGATGAGGGGGAGGGGACGGACGAGGGGGAGGGGACGGACGTGTTAAAAGAGCTACGTGGGTAGAGGAGCCATTGAAGTGGCGAGAGGTTTTAGGTGCTAGGAACATATCGAGAGAGAAGAGTGTTGGACTAGAACAGAAGGAGATACAAGAACGGGGGTAGTCCCCTCTACAGTAGGATTCAGTAAGTAGCACAACCAAGCCTACAATTATATATAAAATATAAACTTTTAACACACCCCCTAGGCTTGGTAGTGGCAAGCCCAGCACCCCCACATCCTTACACCCCCATTCCCTGCAGCAGCAGTGGCGTCGACCAGCCGGTCGACCCCTCGGCGATCGAGGTGGCGACGTCGACGGCGGGTTGCAGCGGCGGCAGCGGCGTCAGCGGCGGCAAGGCGTGCAGCACCTGCGGCGGCGGCGGCGGCTTCGAGGCACCTGGCGACGGCGGCTGCGGCACCCGAGGCAATGGCGGCGTGGCTCAACCTGAGACAACGAGGGGGAGGACGGCACGAGGTCGCCAGCAGCCTGCAGCAGAGGTGACTGCAAGGAAGGAAGGCGCTAGGCATCCTTGAGATGCGGCGGGGCGGAGCTGGCTGGCGTGGCGAGCTGGGACCGACGCTGCGAGCTGGGACCGACGCCGCGAGCTGGGTCCATTGGGACCGACGCTGCGAGCTGGGTCCGACGCAGCGAGCTGGGAGGCGCGGGGAGCTGGAGGGCGGGGGCTTGCTGCCTGGTGCTTAAACCAGTGCGCGACCCACTGCCGCCCGTGCGCTGACGTCGACGACGCCGTCACGGCTTGACGTCGATGCCACGGCAGCGCATCGAGACGGCCACGGCAGCACGACAAAGCCGCCATGGCAGCACGACACGGCCGCCACGGTGGCGCGGAAGTAACTAGAAGAGGGGGCGGGTACGCGGCGGAAGCGTGAGGAGGCGACCCAGCAGGGCGGACCTCCGGCTCTGAAACCATGTTAGAAGACTAACTTAGCTAGGAAGGTAGCCGGCCATGAAATGGCATGAGGTTTTAGGAGCTAGGAGCTAGGAGAGGAAAGTTTGATGAGAGAAAAGAGGGATTGGAATAGAAGAGAGAGAGATACAAGAAGAGCGGTAGTCCCCTCTACAGTAGGTTTCAGTAAGTAGCATAACCAAGCCTACAATTATATATAAAAATATATAATTTAACACACCCCATGGGCTTGGTAGTGGAAAGCCCATCCCAACCTCAGCACCCCCACATCCTTGCACTCCCATTCCCTGCAGCAGCAGTGGCGTCGACCAGCCGGTCGACCCCTCGGCGATCGAGGTGGCGATGTCGACGGCGGGTCGCAGCGGCGGCAGCGGCATCGGCAACTGCGGCGGCAAGGCGTGCAGCACCTGCGGTGGCGGCGGCGGCGTCAAGGCACCTGGCGACGGTGGCTGCGGCACCCGAGGCAACGGCGGCATGGCACAACCTGAGACGACGAGGGGGAGGACAGCACGAGGTCGTCAGCAGCCTGCAGCAGAGGTGACTGCAGGAAAGGAAGGCGCTAGGCATCCTTGAGCTGCGGCGGGGTGGAGCTGGCTGGCGTGGCGAGCTGGGACCGACGCTGCGAGCTGGGACCGACAAGGCGAGCTGGGTCCGTTGGGACCGACGCAGCGAGCTGGGTCCGACGCGGCGAGCAGGGTCCGACACGACGAGCTGGGAGGCGCGGGGAGCTGGAGAGCGGGGGCTTGCTGCCTGGTGCCTAAACCAGTGCGCGACCCACTGCCGCCCGTGCGCTGACGTCGACGATGCCGTCATGACTTGACGTCGACGCCACGACAGCGCAACGCCACAGCAGCGCGTCGCGATGGCCGCGGCAGCACGACGACGCGGCCACGGCAGCACGACGCGGCCGCCATGACAGCGCGAGGGAGAGAGTAGAAGAACGCGGTGGAAGCGTGAGGAGGCGACCCAGCAGGGCGGACCTCCGACTCTGAAACCATGTTAGAAGACTAACTTAGCTAGGAAGGAAGGGGGCCATGAAATGGCGAGAGGTTTAGGAGCTAGGAGAGGAAGTTGACGAGAGGAAAGAGGGATTGGAATAGAAGAGAGAGAGATACAAGAAGGGGGGTAGTCCCCTCTATAGTAGGATTCAGTAAGTAGCATAACCAAGCCCACAATTATATATAAAATATATAATTTAACAGGACGAGGGGGAGGGGACGGACGAGGGGGATGTTGATTCTGATGCTGCTGGGGTTGACTGGGCTGCTGGATCTGATGGTTCCTTGCCGGCCACGCTTGGAGAGGCAAGGATAGGAAGGTGGCGGACTTGTGTGATCGAAACGATAAGCTCTGATACCAACTTCAAAACAGGGTTGCTCTGGGGATTGAAACAACTAGAAACTCAGCTGAAAGCTCTCTCGATGCTTGCTTAACTGAAAGGAATAGCATAGACTTCACTTAAGATAAGGTTGTACAAAGCCCCCTAAGGCACTTTCAATTGATCAAGAATAGGAATTCAGATTGCTAGCTCAAACTTGGCTGGAGCACAAGGCAAATACCTTGGGAACTTGGGCACAACCCAATTGCCATGAACCTTGGCTAACTTGGGAGGCCACATGAGGTGCATGAATAGGATAATTCTGGAATATTCTGCTGTAGATGATTTTATGGTGTAGAGCTCATCGACTTTTCTGGACCACGCTGCTAAAACGCCTCCCGAACTGTATCGAACCTTCCGCTGAAATCTGATTGGTTGCGGAATGTTCTCCATTTCGCCAACTCCCCAATTTCGCCACCGGACATTTCTTCCCCTCGCTGCTGATTTCGTGCAAGGGGCTGGGGCGTCAGATTCACTGTTCCTACAACTTCATGTCGCCTGATCCAGTCACTTGTCGAAAAATATCATCGGAAACCCATCGTCCGTGAGAGTTCCTTTAGGAGTTCGTCTAGTGTGGCACGGAAGCTCGTTTCCACTTGAAACAAACCCAGTAGAAACCCGAAACCCGAAAAAATCCCGAAACCTCACTGAGACCGCAGCGAACGGATGTCTTATGTGAGGCCTTGTACCCAAACGCGTTATGTGCTCTTCAACTTGGTTTCATCTGCGACACCAGGACACCGTTCATTTTTATGTCAAGCACTTCGTGTCGGGTACTGACGGAGGTGGTTGAAATCATGCTGATGTGGCTGAATCCGCAATTGCCTTCTCTGAGCCGAAGTGCTTGACACTGACCAAGAACAGGTTCTTAGGAGGGGCGACATTCGGCTCAATGTGACGCTCGCTCAATCCGCGAGCTCAATGTGCGAAATCGACGGGACAAGCCGCCGGCTCCAGCCTGGGCATGGGAAATGTTACATTGTAGTGTTGCGAAAATGACATTTTCGCGACCAACCAATAATACGAAACTTAGCCCGTGTCTCATATTTCCTACCGACCAAAGGTATTACCTTTGGTGGGAGGGTCTGATTGGGGGGCGAGGGGTGAAATATTGAAAGAGAGTGGGCGAGGGTTGCGACAATTTTGGAAATCGTGGAAGGTCCAACTTTGATGAGGCTTCGAGTCTCGTATTTCCGGGGACCCGTACAGGTCATATTCCCTTATCACCCGGGGGGCGACTCGGGACATATGGCGTACATGGAATATGCTCGGGCAAACGGGGCTATGGCGTGGCTTTAGATTTTTTTTGCTTGGATTTTATGAACTATTCATGGTCGGCGGTGTTGGCGTTTGTTGCGATCAGGTGTCGCTCACCAGGTCGCACGCGCGTCAACTTAGGGTTCATGTACGAGTCAACAAAGCAGACTCATGCAACAACTGACAACAATACAAATGAAGACCGGGGAAAAGGCGATGCAGTATATGAGTCGCTGCCAGACCCTCCGCGACCGCCTGCTTCGGTGCGGAGGAACAATCACTGAAGAAAGCTTCGTGACGCTTGTCCTCGCCGGGCTCGGGCCAGAATGGAGAACCACACGCTCGCTTCTTCGCGCCCACGGAAGGATATCGGAGATGCACCTCTGCGCCGAGCTTCACGCTGAACAACAGGAGATGGACATGTTCGAAGAAAGACAACCAAGGAAGCAGCAGCAATTAGTTTTCTACACTCAACGAAGGAACGACAACAACTACAATCAACGCGGCAAACAAGATCAACGCGACAACAGAGGACTCATCTTCGTGCCACCGTTCTGCCACAACTGTCAGACTTCCGGACATTCCAAAGTCAACTGCACACGTCCTCGTGTTTATCGTCCAGTAGACCCACACGTCGCCTCCACTCAAGAAAGCCCTCCAAGGCGCTCTTCCACATCTGCACAAGGGACACCGAACATCATTAACTGCATGGTACACATCGACAACTGCGCACCCGGATCACCACCCACTTACGCACCAGACGAAGAAGAACTTCCGCCGCCGCGCTCACAAGGACTTGAGGTCAACCCGACATACGCTGCGGTCGCCAACGCCGAACCCACCGGGCGAAACACCTGGTTCTTGGACAGCTGCTGTGGTCAACACATGTGTTCTTCCGGACGCTTCGTGCAACGAGAGCGACGCCTCACCCGCGACGTCATCATCACCGTCGCCAATAACGAAAACCTGAAAACAAACAGACAAGGAGTGGTTCAGTTACAATCCATGGAGACAAACGTTATACTTCAACTCAACAAGGTCCTCATCGTCGACAACTTGGGATACAACTTACTAAGCGTCAGCCAGCTAATGGCAAAAGGGATTCACCTGGAGTGCGACTCCTACTCCAACGAGTTTCGCCTTTACCACGGGAAGGACGGTCCCTTCATCGGTCGTGCTCTCCTAAAGTCCGGTGTCTTCGTGTTGGACTTCGTCCCCGACCGTGGTACTGCCAGCAGCGACGGAATCGTGTCGTTCGCCGCCTGGACACACCCGCCGGATCTTGACCCCGACTTCGACCCTGATGGGTTCTGGCACTCCAACACCATACCTGCAGCAAAAAGAACACGAGCATTAGCAGTCATCAGACAAGAAAGACAAGTACCAGCAAGTGTTCCTTCCCAACCATCACCTGCAGTAGCAGCAGCAGGACCCAGCCGAGTACCACCACCAGCGATCCGAGGACCGCCAACCGAAGCAGATCAACTTATGCCCATCACACGAGAAGTCTGTCGAAGTCCCGCCACGGTCGTCGCGTTCTTCTCCAACACCGACATATACCACCGCTCGCCCGGCCATCGCGCTCCCGACGACATCTGGCACCAACGACTCGGGCACCCTGCAAACAGTACAATACTGCAAACCATCCACGCAGAAGTGTTAGAACGCAACACCCTCCTAACAACGAGCGGCCAAGAACTTCGACGACCACGCGCACGGTGCTTTACGTGCCCCGAAGCCGATCTTCCCCACCAGTCTTTCCAATCTCATCACAACCCAAGCGCACCTACATACGCACTGATGGAAAAAGTCTACAGCGACATTTTAAACATGCCTCGAGAAGACACTGAAGCCGACTTCAACTATGTCATCACGTTTATCGACGCAGCAACAAGATACATCTGGCACTACAACCTCAAGACGCGTGATCAAGCCTTTGACGCCTTCACAACATGGCTACCCATCGCTGAACGAGAATCAGGAACAAAGCTCAAGAGCTTCCAGTCAGACGGTGCACTGGAATACCAGTCACAACGCTTCAGGACCTATCTGGCGGAAAAAGGAATCAGACGCCTGGTGTCTCTGCCCTACGCTCACCAGCAGCAGGGGGTCGCAGAACGCATGAACCGGACCTTGCAGACGACGATGCGGATGCTGCTCCTGTGGATGAGACTGCCCACCACACTGTGGCCAGACGCGATAACACATGCAGTCCACCTGCACAACCTGTTGTCCTCGTCATCACTTCCCAACAACGCATCACCGCACCTGCTGTGGACACGAAAAAGGGGCAGCACAAAATTACTTCGAGTTTTCGGTTGCATGGTACAGTACAGACCCCACACAGCCAGAGCAGGACGTTTCACCCAACGAGCACGATGGGGGCTACACATCGGCATCGCACAACATTTTCACGCATGGAAAATCCTCGACATACAAGACAAAACTACAGTGGCATCACGTGATGTTATCTTCTACGAGCGACTGACGCTGCAGCATTACCTGGACAACATTGCCAACACACATGACCCCACCGACGGCTTCGCGGGCCTTCGTTCCTTCGCCGACCGTGCTGCCGAGGCTGACGCAGCAGAAGAAAACATACCTGGAGCCTCGGAAGCTGCCGGACCACTCCCTTTCTGTTCCGTACCTGTTCCACTCGACGAAGACAATCCTCTCGATAGCAACAACCTCGACACCTTTTACCACTTCGCTGACCAAGGTTACGTTACACCCCACCCGGTCGACACGAATGTTTCAGAACGCATCGGCCCAAACTTCTTACCTGATCCAGAAGACGGTGACGAAGCAGCCTATTCCGGGAATGAAAATTCCCCTCGACACACACCAACAGGACTGCAGATACTCGGCCTATGGGTCTCCGTCCAGCATCCGCCGCCGCCATCTCCGCGCGAGCCCTCGACTCTGTTGCAGGCTCTGGGGGGGGAACATAAGGCGAAATGGAAGGAGGCGATGGAAAAGGAGTTAAAGGCTCTGCAAGACCGAAATACATGGAAGCTGGTACCTGCAACAAGCATCAACGGGAAGAACGTCCTCTCGGGAAAATGGGTGTACCGCATCAAGACCAATGCGGACGGTTCCACCGAACGATTCAAAGCTCGATGGGTCGTACGAGGGTTCGATCAACGATACGGAACCGACTACACAGAAACATTTGCGCCAGTCTCCCATCACACCTCATTACGCATCCTACTCGCCGTCGCGGCCACGAAGAAACTACCACTGCGCCAAATCGACGTCGCAAATGCTTTCCTGTACGCACCTGTGGACGCTGAGATCTTCGTCGAGCACCCCCACGGATTCATCGACGACCCCACGAAAGTATGCCAGCTGGTAAAATCCATATATGGGATCAAGCAAGCCCCGCGGCTCTGGCAGCAGCATCTTCACGGTCGCCTCGTAAAAATCGGATTCCTACAGCTGCCGCATGACCAAGGCATGTACCGACTGCAAAAGGGAAGAGAGTATATCCTACTCATCGTTTACGTCGACGACCTGCTCTACATCGGTTCCACTACCGACATCGCCACCTGGTTCGAAGGGGAGCTGAAAGAGGACTTGACACTCACGGTGTCCGACGCAGTGACCCAGTACCTGGGACTGAATGTCGTCGAAAACAACTCGGCGCTCTACCTACACGCTGGAAAGTACGCAGGCACCGTCGCGAAGAAATTCGGTCTAACGCCGACCACGGTCCCGACTCCCTACCGCTACGGGAACAACAACAGCACCTCCGCAAAACTCCCCGCGAAGCAAATCCAGGAGTATCAGCAGAAGCTCGGCTGCCTACTATTCGCAGCAGTAACCTGCCGACCCGATCTCTCTTATAGCGCGAGCCAACTGGCGACGCATCTGAAGCAGCCGGAACAAGAAGATCTCGAGGAACTTAATCGGGCACTACTCTACTTCGTCTCCACGCCGACGACCGGGCTCACCTACAGCAAAGTAACAACACCGTCCGTACGACTACTCGGATACGTCGACGCCGACCACGCGGGAGACAAGGAAAATCGACGATCGAGAACGGGCTACATCTACCGACTAGAACCTATCGGGACTATCTCCTGGCAGTCGAGCAAGCAGGAACTAATCGCACTATCTTCGGCTGAAGCAGAATATATCGCCCTCTGTACTGCGACCAAGGAAGGACTCTACCTACGAGAGTTGCTAGAGGAAGCGAAGATTGCGACCCTGCCCGTCTTCTCACTCCTCTGCGACAACCAATCTGCGATCAAAATCGCGAACAAGGACGGCTTCGCCAACCGAACCAAACACATCGCCCTGCGGTACTTCTTCGTCAATGATGAAATCGCGAAAGGGAGACTTCAACTCAGTTACTGCCCTACGACAGAAATGGCCGCAGACTATCTGACGAAGAAATTGGCGAAGGCAAAAATCGATTACTGCATGCTGCTGACCGGGCAGACGAACGTCACCGGATCTGAACACGTCAGCACTCCAGAAACGAAGGGGAGTGTTGGAAATATGTCAAAGGATTTCTGAAGTGTAACACTACACTCGAGGAAGATCGCAACGGGTACGCGAGTCAACGGAGGTTAAACGAGGGGGCGAACAAAGAACGCGAAGGGACTCGAAGGGTCGCAACTGGAGGTTGCGACTGACCGTTACAACAGCGCGGATGGTAACCGAAGCGACAATCGAGTCGCTGTGCGACTCGATAACCGCTCCTGCAACTGTATTCTACAACTGCTTTCTTATCTTCTATATATTGCTGTATGCTTGTTTCTTTAATCAATCACTTGTTCTCACATACTAGTACAAGGGTTCAACTACCTCAACTTCCGCTGCACTACTCAAGCCTCATTCTACAACTGGGACTTAATCTCTGGAAAGATCCTAAGGGCATTTCTCAGCCCAACACCGGCCTTAAGGGGCGGGTAATACAATACCCGCCTGGCGGGTCCGGGTATACCCGACCCGGTGACCCTGAAAAGCGGGTAATACTACTCGCCACCTACTAGTGGACATCCTAAAGTTGGGCTAGGCTAGGTGGGGTTCGTGAAAACGCGACTCTCAAATGAGAGTCGCGTTTCCTGGGGGTCGAATTTTGGCCACCCAACTCCCTCCCTTTCACCGCACTGTACTCCTCCCCCTCTACAAACTCCAATTTCCAACCTAACTCCCTCCCTTTCACCGCACTGAACTCCTCCCTGTCTACGAACTCCAACATTTCCAACAAAACTCCCTCCCTTTCACCGCACTGAACTCCTACCCATCTACAAACTCCAACCTCTTCTCCAACTCCCACCCAACTCCCTCCCTTTCACCGCACTGAACTCCTCCCCGTCTACAAACTCCAATTTCCAGCCAAACTCCCTCCCTTTCACCGCACTGAACTCCTCCCTGTCTACAAACTCCAACATTTCCAACAAAACTCCCTCCCTTTCACCGCACTGAACTCCTACCCATCTACAAACTCCAACCTCATCTCCAACTCCCACCCAACTCCCTCCTTTTCACCGCACTTAACTCTTCCCCATCTACAAACTCCAACTTCTCCTCACAAATGCTCCACTCTTCCCCCCTCACCTCCAAAACCGTTTTTGCCGCAAAACCTAAAACACAGCGCGACTTACGCCCATGTCTAGGTGGAATACCCGACCTCGGGTAATTTTAACCCGACCGGGTCGGGTACCCGTTACCCGACACGTCGGGTAGCATTTCGGGTAGCGGGTATTGATACCCGGCCCGGGTAACCCGGATCCGACCCGCCGGGTAATTTTCAGGATTTCCGATACCCGACCCGCCCTAAAAGCGGGTCCGGGTACCGGGTACCCGACCCGGGCGGGTATTTTGCTCAACCCTAGCTCAGATTCACCACTTGCTTGCGAAGTCTATCTGGGTACTGTTTACAATTGAGCGCGGCTCAAAGTCGTGTTCCAAATTTGTGAGCAATTTCGGCATTTCAGTTCGACATTGAGCCACAGGCTCGGGATTTAGCTCAGCTCAAGCACAATTTTCCCCCTGTACGACGAGAGCACTAGCAGAGTCGTACAAGTCCGTGAAAGAGAGAGGCGACTTTATTTGGCCAATCAACAAGTCCTAGCAGATGGATTCCATTTCCGTTTCGTTCTCTCTTCGGTTCGGCGCCACCCAAATCTAGACATCTTAATATCGAGTTTTGAAACGCCTTGAAACGTCTCGAATTCGCCAGCTCGGCGGCACCATGACTGGTCGCGAGCGCTTCCGCTCATTGCTCCTTGTTCTCCGTAAGCCAACGCAGCGATGGCTCTTCTCTCCTTGTTGTTCATGGCTCTCAGTTGCAGGTGCTCTCTTTTAGTTCCGGTCCAACTCAACGACGTGTCTTTCAAGTACTCCCCGTTTGAAGCTGACTCGTGTAGATCTGCCTCGTGTTCCCAACAGGAATACCTTTTCTGCTTCCAATTACATTTTTAAAGCTCTCAGTAAAAAATAGACGTTCAACTTTCACCAGTAGTTCCCACCTTGCGCGCATCTCTTCTATCTTGCGCTTTCTCAAGATACTCCTCCTTTCCCCTTCCCTCCCCCTTTCCTCCCCCTTCTCTCCCTCCCCCCTCTCCCCCCTCCCCCCCGAAACCCCCTCCCCTTTCCCCCCTCTCTTTCAGTTCTCCTGCCAGCATGGGCTCAAGACGAGTCGCTTTTCAGCGCCAACTCACAGCCCCTTCTGCCCGACTCCGGCCCACAGCCGCTGAGCCAATCGCAGCAGCAGCAGCAGCAAGAGAGTTCAGGGGCAGGCGCAAGGAGTGGAGCAGAAGCAGGTGCGGGGCCGGGGGTAATTACCCTGGAAAATGACGAGGTGCTGCTGGGACGGGTGTCTGAGATGGAGAGGGAGCTCCGTAAGCAGCTGGCGGAGCAGGAGCGCGCAGGGGGGAAGTCAATAGGGTTACCAGAGACAACAGGGTTACCAGTAGGGTTACCAGAGTCAACGGGGTTACCAGAGTCGACAGGGTTACAGCAACCAACAACGCTAATACAGCAATCAGAGGAATCACTAGCAACGGGAGTCAGTGAGTCAAGGCAGGATGCTGGGCTGAGCCAGGGATTGGACAGCGGGCCATCTGCCACGTCACCTTTCATTACAGCAGCTGCCACGTCAGCTGCCATCTCAGCCGGTGGGATTCCAGCGCCGTTGGCCATACAGGCGTTGGAGCAGGAGGCGAAGCAGCTGGCTGCTGACGTGGTACAGGGCAAGGTTGACAGAGAAGTGTGAGTAAAAGAAGCTGCTGCTGCTGCAAGGACTCACAGAGGCAGAGGCGAGGCGGTGAGGGCAACCGTCACTAGCTATATACCCGTTGCCTGTGCTTAAACGTCTCTCCGTTACCTTGATTTTGCAGGGTGTTTTTGAGAATTCTCAGAAACGTCTCTCCGTTTCCCCCTCTTCCTCCCCACCCCTTCAGAGCCAAGCAGCGAGCGCAGCAGGTGCTGCAGCGACTCACAGAGTCAGAGGCCAGGCTGAGAGATCAGCCATCTGCATATACGTGCTGCATGTGCTTATCAATCCTGCCCGTTTGCTCCTTCTTTCTTCCTACCACCTGCCTGCCTGCAGAGCTAAGCAGCGAGCGCAGCAGCTGCTGCAGCGACTCGCAGAGGCAGATGCCAGGCTGAGAGGGCAACCGGCCGCACCTGTTGCTGCTGCCAGCAGCGACAGCAGCGACAGCAGCACCAGCAGCAGCAGCAGCAGCAGCAGCAGCAGCAGCAGCAGCGGCAGCAGCAGCATCCCCAGCAGCAGCAACAGCAGCCCCCTGCAATCTCTAGGCCTGGACCCCATGGGGTCACCCCAGCAGGAAGCTTTGACCTCCCCATCCTCCCTCCCCTCCCCCCTCTCTCGTTCCTCCATGTCAGAACTCCACCTCAACATAGGAGCCCTCTACTCGACCCACCTAGATTCCCTCAACTGCTCCCTCACGCCCACCTGCCCGGATTTCTCAGGCAGGTGCTCGGTCAACCCGGAAATTTCGGCGTGCTTTAACCCTGGGATGGAGGACGATGGGAAGCAGTGGCTGCGGGCGCCAGAAAACTGCCCGAAAGTGAAGAATGTGGGGGAGAGTGGCGCAGAGGGGCTTGATTCGAGGTGCAGCCATGAGGCGGACTTTGCGTGGCACAAGTGGATGGTGTTTCAGACTTACTTGCTGCGGGGCGTGTATGTGAGCTCGGAGGGGCAGGTGTTTAACGAGACTACACACTTTGCACGCAAGGGGTGTGGGCACTTTTCGGAGGTACGTTTTTGTTGTGATGTGAGACTTGTCTTCAACGAAGGAACCACTTTGTGATGTGAGACTTGTGCCACTTTGCGTGGCACAAGTGGATGGTGTTTCGGACTTACCTGCTGCGGGGCGTGTATGTGAGCGCGGATGGGCAGGTGTTAAATGAGACTACACACTTTGCTAGCAAGGGGTGCGGTCACTTCTCAGAGGTGAGTGCTTGTTGTTGGGAATGCGTGTGGGCCGCCGCAGGACAGGAATCGGTAGGCAGGTTTTGCGTGGCACAAGCGGATGGTGTTTCGGGCTTACCTGCTGCGGGGCGTGTATGTGAGCGCAGAAGGGCAGGTTTTCAACGAGTCAATTGACTTTGCACGCAAGGGATGCAGGCATTTATAATGAGTCTATTTTTGAGTTGACTTAAAAGATAGGCTCATTACACAGCTTTTCAGCGAATCGATCGACTTTGCATGCAAGGAATGCAGGCATTTCTCAGAGGTGGATGCTTGTTGTTGGGAGTGCATGTGGGCCGCCGCCGGACAGGAATCAATCGGCAGATTTTGCGTGGCACAAGTGGATGGTGTTTCTAAGATACCTGCTGCGGGGCGTGTATGTGAGCGCAGAAGGGCAGGTTTCCAACGAGTCAATTGACTTTGCACGCAAAGGATGCAGGCATTTGTAATGAATCTATTTTTTAGTCGACGTAAAATTAGGCTCATTACACAGGTTTTCAACGAATCGATCGGCTTTGCATGCAAGGAATGCAGGCGCTTCTCTGAGGTGGGTGTGTGTAGTTGGAGGTGCTCATGTCCCACCGGTGCATTTGTAGCTGGGATTGCAATTGTAGTTGAGGTGCTACACTTTTAGTTGGAGGTGCTCCGCCGGCTCATGGCTAGGCTTGGATCTCAAAGGAACCTCCCCGGGATGACTGAGAGCTCTTCTATACTCCCTCCCCGCCCCTCACCCGCATTTCCTTCTCTTTTTCCTCTCATCTCCCCCCTTCCTCCTCCCCCCTCTAGTTTTCTTACCCCGAGTCCACCCCAGTGCGCCACATACGCCGAGCCCTCTCCCTCGTCTACCCCCAAGCCACAGGGTTCTACCACGGGCTGATTGAGTGGCTTCCCAACTTCCTGCTCCTGGCGCCACTGCTGCAGAAGCTGCCAAACATTGCTGTGCTTGCCACTGCTGAACAGGTATGTGTGTGTGGGGGGGGGGGGTTTGTGATGGAGTGTGTTATGGTCCTCTCTCTCCCTCGTCTACCCCCAAGCCACGGGGTTCTTCCACGGGCTTATCGAGTGGCTGCCCAACTTTCTGCTCCTGGCGCCGCTGCTGCAGAAGCTTCCAAACATTGCCGTCCTCGCCACACCAGCGCAGGTAGGTGGGGAGTGTGATGCAGTGCAGTGCCTTCTCTCCCTCGCTATCTAGCCTATCTAGTGCCTCGTGCCGCTGCTGGCGCCACTGCTGCAGAACCTTCCAAGCATTGCCATCCTCTTCAAACCAGAGCAGGTAGGTGGGGAGTGTGACCACGGGGTTCTACCACGGCCTCATGGAGGGGTTGCTGCTCGCGCCGCTGCTGCAGAGGCTGCTTCAGATGGCAGGCATTACCACACCAGAACAGGTAGGTGGGGAGAGTGGTGCAGTGCGGTGCCATTCATTGCAGTGCGGTGCAGAAGCTGCTTCAGATAGCAGTCATTGCCACACCAGAACAGATGCATACGTGGATGCAGTGGGTTGGCGTGCGGTGAAGTGCGGTGCTTTCTTCTTTCTTTCTTTTTTCCTCTTTACTTCCCTCTCCGTTCTTACCCCTGTGGCTCTTCTTTGACTGGGTCCTGAGGCCTCTAGATGGCGTTTTTTTAGGCGCCTAAAAATCTGTTCTACGACAGGGTCTTCAAGCCTCTAGTAGCGTGGAGCTAGCTCAGATCAACCGAGTGGACATCAACTCGAATGGGCTGCTGCTGGTGATGGATCCACGCTCTGACTTGCTCCCTTCCGTCCCGTCTCATATCCCAGTGGGCATTTTGCGACCGGGTGCTCGAGCCCTTGCGGGGGTGGAGCTGGCTCTGATCAACCGAGCGGACGTCAAGTCAAATGAGCTCGTGGTGAATGATCAACATTTTTACTTTTTCCCCCCGTCTATCCCCAGTGGGCATTCAACGACCGGGTGATCAAGCCCCTTGTGGGGGTGGAGTGGAGCTTCCTCTGATCGACCGAGGGGACATCAACCCGAATGGGCTGCAGATAACTTTTTGCTCAGATCCACCAAGGGAATGAGCGTGTCCTTGTTGGCTTATTTATTATGCTTCGCTCTCCCCCCCACCCCCCCAACCCTCCCCTGTATCCCCACTGGGCATTCTACGACAGGGTTTTGAGGCCCCAAGTGGGCGTGGAGGTAGCTCAGATTAATCGAGTGGACATCAATTGAGTGGACATCAGCCCCAGTGAGCTCGTCCTTGTTGGCTCATTTATTATGCTTCGCTCTCCTCCCCCCCTCCCCCCCCCCCCAACCCCCCCTTTTTGTATCCCAGTGGGCATTCTACGACCGAGTTTTGAAGCCGCTTGTGGGTGTGGAGCTAGCTCAGATTAATCGAGTGGACATCAACCCCAATGAGCTCGTCCTTGTCGATCAACTCTTCATGGTATGCCCACTTTATAATACAATCAATTCTATTTATATTAAAGTGATGGTATATATGTACACACATTTATATATGCATATATATAATTTGCCACCTGAGTGAACAGCAGCCTCGGCATTAGTGCATCCTTGTCAACCAACTGTTAATGGTATATGCCTATGTCTCATGTCATCCCTTCCTCCGTTTCCCAACCCCCCTCAACATCGCCTTGGTGATGTTGTGGTCGACTCAAAAGTCACCTCATGTTTAATCTTGCGTGAGTTTTACTGTGAGCCTAGTTTCTGTCAAGTAGAGAATCTTCGCAAGTTTTACAAGGCTTTGATCTTTCTGCTAACAGAAGTTCCACGCTGCTGCTCTTCCTCCGATTAGTGACGATCCCTGAGATCCCACTTACGTGCTACATTTCCCACCCCCCCTCAAGATCGCCTTGGTGATGTTGCAGTCGACTCAAAAGTCACCTCTTTCCCTCCTGTGTTTCCCACTCCTCAATATCCCCTTCCTCACATGGATGTGCAATTCTCGTCCTTCCCCCATGCCACCTTTTGTCCCTGATACAAACAGCCTCTTTACCAGTGCTGTGGAAAGCCATCTCCAGCCATCTGGCGAAACATGAGGCTGCGGGCCCTGCTCCCCCGCAACGGCCTCCCGCTCTTTCACAGGCACGGCTGGCAGCCCCGGGGAATCCAGCCAATCACAGAGATCCAGGCTGTAGCCGTGCTGCGCTCTGATTGGGTGGTCGTTGTTGCGCGCCGCCCGGGCAGCCGGAGGGTTTTGGACAAGTTTGAGGAGGTGGTGGAGGAGGTGAAGAAAGTTTTCGGGCAGGATAAGGTTCGAATATTCGACGGCTCGCTTCCAATCCTTGAAGGTGAGAAAGGTGATGGCTTTACGAGAAATGGAAGTTTGATGTGCATGGTGGGGGTGTGCATGGTGGGGGTGTGTATGGTGGGGGTGTGCATGGTGGGGGTGTGTATGGTGGGGGTGTGTATGGTGGGGGTGTGCATGGCGGTGGTGAGTCTGGAATGCAAGGGTTGGGTCTGTTTTAGATCATGTCGTACCTTTATCGTCGCAACATCGTCATGAGCCTCTTCATAATACACCACGGAGCAGTGCTGCCCGGAGTAGTGCTGCCCGAAGTAGTGCTGCCCGGAGTAATGCTGCCCGGAGTAGTGCTGCCCGGAGTAGTGCTGCTGAGAGTAGTGCTGCCCAGAGAAGCACTGCCCGAAGCAGTGCTGCCGCCCGGAGCAGTGCTACCTGGAGTAGTGCTGCCCGGATTAGTGCTGCCCGGAGTAGTGCTGCCCGGAGTAGTGCTGCCCGGAGTAGTGCTGCCAGGAGTAGTGCTGCCCGGAGTAGTGCTGCTTGGAGTAGTGCTGCCCGGAGAAGCGCTGCCCGAAGCAGTGCTGCCGTCCGGAGCAGTGCTACCCGGAGTAGTGCTGCCCAGAGTAGTACTGCCCGGAGCAGCGCTGCCCGGAGCAGTGCTGCCCGGAGCAGTGCTGCCTGGCGCAGTGCTGCCTGGGAGCAGTGCTCCATGGAGCAGTGCTGCCCGGAGCAGTGCTGCACGGAGCAGTGCTGCACGGAGCAATGCTGCATGGAGCAGTGCTGCCCCCGATCATCGTCTTTCATCATGCCTCGAACTCCACCCACAACAGCACAATCCCCCAGTGCGATCCAGTTCTCTTCCTCCCCCCCCGCCCCCCCCCACTTCTTTCCTCTCCCCTCCCTCCCGCCTGCTGCTAACCCCCCTCCCCAACCGCATGCAGCCCGGTCCCTCTTCCTGCAAACCCGCCTCTTCATTGCAGGGCATGGGGCAGCACTGGCTAACATGGTCTTCATGCCTCTGGGTGCTACAGTGCTTGAGATTCGACCAGACCGTTACGACAATGCGTGTTACCACTTCCTGGCAAGCGCATGCAGTCTACAGTACAATCTGGTGTTGGGTCAGGGCGATAAAGACAGTGAAAATAAGGTCGATGTGGGTGATGTTACGACAGCTTTAGAGAGCATACGTAGCGGGTTTGGTACTGTGCAATGATTTCCTTGTATCACATTTTGATACCGGTACAAATGTTTGTACAGTGTCTTAGTTTCAGTGTGCGCCTTGCAACATCCTTTCAACTCGCCAGATGCATTTTCATTTCAGTTGTTTCTGAGAGCCTGAGAGAGAGCAACAATCTACATACACAAAAGACAAGATACACGCATATCCCATCCCAGCTTTAACCACGTCCCTGCCTCTATCTGTACAGTATCAAGACAAGAACCCCCATGCCCTTGGCATCATCCTCCCAACAACGCCCATAAGGGCAATCCACGTGGAATGACCACCTTAGTCCCCTCCCCGCCCCCGTGTTTTGTAACTTGTAACGCATCCAGTCATCACTGGAAAAGCACCACCTCATCATCAGCCCCAACCCTCTGCCAGTTCCCTCCGAACGCCCAGTTCTGAAACCCGCCATCTCCGGTATTCGCAACCTCAAAGGGTCCCTGCTTGAAATACACCGTAAAATGCGAGTTACTCCAGAAGTGCTCCACCTCAACCGTGGTGTAGAATGGCTCGCCCGCCACCGTGTGGCTGCTCTTGATGACCATCACGTTGTAACCCGCGTTCATGAAAATCTCCACCACTTTCGTTGTCACCTCACCATCATCCTCAATTCCGCCGATAATTCCCAGGCTGCCGGAAATAATCTGATCCGCGGTCACCCCGTCCCAGCTGAAAAGTTTCCGCTCCACCCTGTGAGGAGATTCCAGGGTACCAGTTCCAGCAGCGGAGCCGAGGGTATCGGCGGTGACGCTGGCTGCTGCGGGCCGAGCTGCGCTTGCGCTGGTGACGGCGAGGAGCACGAGGAGGGAGAGAGGCAGCAGCTGACGAGCTGCGCGGAGCGACGAGTTAGCAGCAGCCATTGTCAAGATAACTCAAATCGAATTTGATCCAATCGCAGTGGTAAATGCCGATCAAATGAGGGTAAAATCGGTCGGTATTGTAACTATTGAAGAAGCTGTTGAAGAAGCTGTGATGGCAACACTGATCTTGGATGTCTAATTTATGGACTTTCATGCCTAAAATTGCATAATCTGCTAGAGCCGCCGTAGCCATTGTGCTGGATTCCGGACCCAGTCGTAAGAAACACGCGCGGACTTCCTGCCGTTACGGAGAAGTCGGAAGGTAAGAGGCACCAACTGGTCCGAGGTGAGCGCTGGGCGAGCAAGAATAGTGACTAGTCTCCGTTCTGTAGTAGCCACAGAAATGTGGAAAGCAGTTGGCCTTGCCGTGGCGTGAGGTGGAATGGAAGGGCCAGACAGGAGGGATGTGACTGAGGGCGTGTTCTGGGCTCAGGGCAAGCCCTGAGGCAAACTTCCGGGCATCCGCTGTACGGGAGCGATTGCCCGAGCCCCAACTTTGATACACCGTGTCTGTATAATTGATGCCCCGAAAATCTGCCTCGGGGCTGCCCAGAGCCCAGAACGCATCCAAATATTTCACGGGCCTTCACGGGCCTATTTCAAGGGCAGGTTCTGTTACGGGGTACGTCCGATTTCGGTTTGCTAAGATTATACGATCAAATTAAAAATCTAGAACGGTTGAGTCATGTATTTTGCCTGGATTTCTTGGAACAGGCCCTAATGGTCCCCAGTAGTCTTCGGAACATTCTCGAGACTTTTGTAACAGACCGACTGACTGTCCTCGTGCGTGGAAATCCGGACCGTGATCTCGTCATCGACCGTCCTTCCGTCTATAGTCGATCACGGTCAGCCGTCAACGGAGAGCCGGTTGAGGGTGACCACTCACCCTCTCAACAAGCAGTGTGTTATGAAAGTGAGGGTGTTACTAGCGACAAAAAAAACGATCGAGTAAAACCTCTAAAAGAGAGCAGGATAACGAGGATGTAATTTGCGAAAAGCGTATCCACCAGTGTGCGCGATCCACCATCAAAGTCTGGCGTGCACCTTTCGCCAGGGCTGTGAAATGCATTTGTGGTGCTTTGCATGCAGCATGGATAAAATGCTTCTACAGACAAGCTACATGGCAACGGGCATGAACAGTTGGCTACAGGAAAACTATGTTCCATGCAAATAATTGATTGTTCAATCAAACCGAAGCTCCTGCGGAGTGACAGATCTGCCTAGTGGTACCATCGATTTCTTTTCCTTGTCTCTTGGCATAGCTTTACGCATGTCTGAAACCAAGGTGGCAAAATGGGGATGTGGCAAGCACAAATAGCATAAGGGATTGAAGGCGATGGATACGTGACAATAAATGAGACATGGATTTGGCATGGTGTTTGCACAAGCGTAAGAGTAGTGAAGTACATGCGGAGAAAGACAGTGGCGACTTTTGAGGCACCAAAAAACACATTAAGGTAGCAAATCGGGTTACTTGATGAGAGAGAAAGTGGCGAGAACGACAAGACGGGTTGATCGCTCTGTTACACATCAACATAGCGAATTGGCATCATCCAAGAATGATCTGTCTCCATGTGATGCAGTGATTCTATGCCATACAATGCAATGGCCAAATAAAAAGCCATGCCATGCCATTGCATGAGAACTCACCGAAGGCATCTTCCTCCCCTGAATAATACATTAGCACGCGTTGATACACCTCATACCCAAACTGAAGGGGATACATGAGTGAAAGGATCCGGGCAGGCACGAGAAGAGATCGGGCAGACACAAAAGCAGAGGGATGCATACACGGGCATACACACACCGCAACGTAGGAAAGAGAGAAACTCGGGGTCAAAAACAATATATAGTTCATACCAAAGCACTGTATGAACCTTATCAACCTTCCTCAAACTCAAAGCGGAACTTTTGAGGCGCCTCAAAAGTCAATGTATAGTTCAAACGAGCACCGTATGAGTGGGCCTTACCAACCTTCCTCAAAGTGGGACTTCCGTGACCCACAAGCAACCTGCTCAAATCTCAATAGCAAGTAAATAGATGTGCCGGTAGCTGCAGCCTTACGTACTTTTACAAAGGTAGTAAAAGCCACTCTATCTCACAGGTAAGCAGTCTCCCAGCACCTGCAGCCCGTTGCAACAAGGTACAACTGTGCATAGCAATGTGTTATAAATGCGTGTAGCAACCGTGCTTTTGATTCAACACAGAAGCGGGTAAGCGGTCTCCCGGTAGCCGCAGCCCGTTGCAACGAGCTACGAATGCCTGTAGCAGCCACTTACTTTGTGGTACAGTTGAATGGCGGCCTTGTTGGGAGGTGACTTCTGAGTCGAATAAAATATCAAACTGAGTTATAAATGCCTGTAGCAACCACTTACTTTATGGTACATTTGAATGGCGGCCTTGTTGGACGTCCGAACAAAGAGATCGACAAAGTACCCATCGTAACTGAGACACAAGGAAAGGGGTGGGGCACACATGGCAAGAAAGTGGCACGTCTAAGGGGTGAGTCGACTCAGTGGCAGCCTTGTTGGACGCTGGAATGGATAGATATACAAAGTACCCATCATAAGTGAAGCACATGGCAGGTAAGTGCGGGTTAAAGCACGTGGAAGTGAGTGTGGGACAACGCACGGGTAGGGGAAGTAGAGAAGAGGGGGAGGGGAAGGGGTGTGGGAAAGTTGGGAAAGGATCTGGGGCAGCAATAAGAACAAATCGATTTTAGTCGACGTTATTGTGTTTACATCCATCAGCTTAGCAGTATGTCAAAGAATGCACATATTTGGTGTAACTTCTCACGCACCACTGCAACTATTGCAACTGCTTAACTTCTCACATACGCTTACAACGGCTTAGGTAAATTCTCAAGTACGTTTACAACTGCTTACGTAACTGTTTAAGTATGGCTGACAGCTCAGCAGTGGGTCACAAATACTTATACCCTGTGAAGCAAGCAAGCATAGAAGCACGCCCCGCGGGAACCGTTTTGCGTGCATCAGCACTCATCTTAAGTGAGAACTACAATCTCAAGTGTGCGCATGAGGTCTCAAGTGTGCGCGCATGAGGTCCCACCCACGTCTAGTCAGAAACATTTCGTGTGGAATCAATCTCGTGTCAAGTGTGCGCACTCACACCTTGTGCTCCCAGCTGATGGGCGCACTCACGCCTTGTGCAGGATCTCCTCCAGTACGCCCGTAAGCTGTGCTCCCAGCTGCGCTCAGTAGCACTCTCCTGTGCGCACCAGCTCTCCCGTCTTGTGGAACCAGCTCTCACGTCGTGTGGGTAGCTGGGAGAGCGCAGCTCTCCCAGATGCGCTCAGTTGCACTCTCCTCCAGTACGCCCATCGGCTGCGCACCCAGCTGCTCTCACTTGCGCTCCATGCACTCTCATTCTCTCAGTACCGGTCTGCATGGGAACTCAAAGCACTCACGTCTTGTGTGTGATCTCCTCCAGTATATCCATCAGCTTTGCTGCAAGCTGCTGCCGGCGATACTCCGGAGCCACAGTCAGCGCCGTCACGTGCCCGTGCCACAGCTCGCCCTCGCCCTCCACCTTGCCCATGACTGTGTTGAGAAGGGGGAGAACCGAAAGGAATAGGGATGTTGTGTGCCGCCGTTAGCGCCGTCACGTGCCCGTGCTACAGCTCGCCCTCGCCCTCCACCTTGCCCATGACTGTGTTGAGAACAGGGGGAATGAGGGGGAGGGGGATGGACACATGGGCTTTGCAGCCAGCTGCTGCCGGTGATGCTCCAGCGCTGCAATCAGCGCCATCACGTGCCCATGCCACAGCTCGCCCTCGCCCTCCCCCTCCACCTTGCCCATGGTGTTCATGGACGAGGTGATTAGTGTGGCCCACTACTGCGTCAGCCAAAGAAATGGGGGCGAGGAGGTTGCCACACTTATCACCTCGTCCATGATTCTGTCCCCTGCGAGAGGTCTTTCAGAATTCTAAAAAATACACTTCAATGGGGGCGAGGAAGTCGTGACAGTAATCACCTCGTCCACGATACAGTCCCCTGGAGCCTGATCCCTGGTTCCTGAGACCCCATCATGCCACGTCACTCATTGTCCCATGCCGCGTCATTGTGCCACATTGCTCGCTGTCCCACGCCACGTCAGCATGCCACGTCACTTACTGTAGCCCATGATTCTGTCCCCTGGTCCCTGGGCCGCCACGAAATACTCAGGCCAGCTTGCCATGTAGCCGAGATAGAAGTTCAGGTTGTACTGGCGATAGGGTGGACGCGAATGGTGAAAACACGGTGGAAGCACAGAGTAATAAGGAATGGCGGTGAAGTTGAATACTCGGGCCAGCTCGCTATGTAGCCGAGATAAAAGTTAAGGTTGTACTGCACGGAGGGGGAAAAGGGGAATAAAGGGCAAAAAGTGGTAAAAAGGGGTCAAATCACTTGGGTCAGCTCGCCATATGGCTGAGACAGAAATTGAGGTTGCGGTGTGAGAGGGTGGAGGCAAAGGTAAGAAGTATGGCAGTAGAAGCAACGGTAATAATTGCATAAATTATTAGTAAATGCTGAACGTAAAGGTAAGCCAAAGGCAAAAGAGGGTGAACGGAGGGGGTGGCGCTGGAGGGGGGTGACCACCAACATGCCGCCCTTCCATCCCTTGCCAGCACCCTCCCTCCGTCCCACACTCTCCCCTCCTCATTGCCCCACTGCCCCCATCCCCCGCCCTTTCCCTCCGCCCCTCCTCCTCCCTCTTCCCCCCATTCCGCCCATCACCCATGCACGCACCATCTCCGTGTTCCAGTCAACGTTGCTGGCTCACCCCTTCATTTTGCAGGGTGCTTTTGAGAATTCTCAAAAGCACGCACCATCTCCGTGTGCCAGTCGACGTTGCTAGCTCACCCCCTCCCCTCCTCCGCCCCCCCTCTATCACGCATTCCCTTCCTTCTCCGCTCCTCGTCTCTCGCTCCCTCCCTCTTCCCTCTTCCTCCCCCTTCCCTCTGTCTCCTCGCTCCCTCCCTTTGCCCACTCCGCCCCCAGGCGTGCACTCTCTTCCCGCCCCTCGCACAGCCTACACTCACCGTCTCCGTGTACCAGTCTAGATTCACGTTGTTGAACCGAAACAGATCGTCGCACGTGAACCGTCGAATCGTCGTCATTGTAACAAGCGGCGAACGGCTAAAGAGGGTCCGGGAGCAGAGGATATCTCGGAGCTCGAAAACGCCGGGGACCTTCCGAAAACGCCAGAGGATATCTATATAGAGTCTATATGCGAGTCTGAGCAGGAGCGGCACGGATGGCAAGGTAGCGAGATGGAGAGTTGTGCAGGACAACAAACGACCTTAGTAGTAGCGAAAGCGGAAAGTTTTTTAACGTGAGCGATAAGAAACGAGTGGGGACTTGTCATCAGAAGCATCGGAATCAAAGAAACTGTGGAGAGCAGAGTAAGGGGGTAATGCGTTGGGTATTGTAAGGAAAGAGGTGTTTTTCAGGGGCTAGTTCCGACCATCCCCTCTCCGTGCTGGCACACACGAAGAAAGTGGGCCCGTTCGCGACTTGCGGTGAACCAAGGGTATGTGCATCCTTCCTCGAGAACACCTCGGATTGTAACGACAATTACAATCACGAACAACTGAGTTGTCATTTCGCCAGCAAAGGAACTGACCTGGTGGGGGTCGCAGCTCCACTTCGACAAACAGCCATCCTTTCACGAACTGTACACAAGCACGCGAATCGAAGACTCGGGTTACCAAGTATACTCAACATGACGACTCCACCACGGACCTTCGCGCGCTGGGGAAACCCACTGCACCGAAAATTCTAGACCTCGCAGCTCCAAACATGCGCTGCTCGCCCTTGACCAGATGGTCTCGCTGCTACCCTAGTTTATTTCCAAAAAGCATCTGTCTCCAGTACATATTTCAGCAGTGACCTCTCACCGACCTCTCACCAACCACCGACCTCTCTCGTTGCGATCACTCCGCGAATAACTACAGAGTAGCGATACGACGAGTTACTATCGCAATTATTCTTTTTTTTCGAAGCTTTGGAGCTCACTGACGCTCGTTGAAAGTCCGAGTTTAGCATCAACCCGCCTCGAGAGACCCCCCAGCCCCCGCCTCGAGAGACCCCCCAACCCCAGCCTCGAGAGGTCCTCCAGCGAGCCATGGCGTCGGAGCCGCAAAAGCAGCAGTCAGTAGGCGAGTCACTCTCCGCGCAGCCCAGTCGCACCATCTTTATCGCCGCGGACCTTCGCGACCCGCTGCACGTGCTGCGATGCGGCCTCGCGTCGTACATGCCGGGAGGAGCCCTACCGACGTACTCCGACCTTTTCCTCCTGCTCATTGAAGCCGCTCCGCACCTCGTCGAGAGACTCTTTGCCGGCGCTGCTGTCGCTGGTAAGCACGAGTACTACTCACCTTGGCGTTACTGTCGCCTTGGCGTTACTTTCACCTTGGCGTTACTGTCACCTTGGCGTTACTGTCACCTTGGCGTTACTGTCACCTTGGCGTTACTGGCACCTTGGCGTTACTGTCTGTAACTCGTGACGTCATGCCTGGCGGAGCCCTAGCAGCCTACTCCGACCTCGTCCTCCTGCTCATCGAAGCTGCTCCCCATTTAGTAGAGAGGCTTTTGCAGGCGCTGCTGTCGCTGGTAAGTGCAACATTTACCTCGACATTGTCGTCTCGTTATTGTCGCCTCGTCGTTGTCACATGGTGCTGTTGTCTGTAAAACCATTGACTCGCGGCGTACATGTCTGGCGGAGCCCTACCCACCTACTCCGACCTCTTCCTCCTCCACATTTCACCTCGCCCAATGCCTTTTCGCAGGGGCTGCTGTCGCTGGTATGCTTCCCTAATGTCACCTCCCTGCCGGTGTCTATATAAACACTACCTCCCCATCCCTCCTTGCACGCGTGAAAGTAACCATGTGTTGAGAAGTCTCAACTCATCCGTCCCCTCTCCCCCTGTCCTCTCCTTGTCTCCAATCACCCCAGGAGCCAATGCTGACGTGGCAGTGTCTGACGCCCGCCAGCACCTCGCGCACCTCTGCAAGAAGGCCAGACGCGTCACCTCCCAGTCAGCCCCGGTCCAGTCAACCCTGGTCCAGTCAGCACCCGGCCAGTCAACCCTAGTCAACCCAGGTCAACGGCAGGCAAACCCAGTCCAAGTAGCAGGCTGCAGCGTGAGTGAGTACCTTCTGCGTTTCAATTCTGCCCCGCAGCACAAAGCAGCAGCACTGAAGAGGGAGAGGGCGAGTCGGAGGAAAAACGCTGCGGCAGCAGCAGGCCAACAGAACGAGTCTCCGGAGTCAGATGCCCCCCAACCTGTGGTTTTCCGGCTGCCGAATGTGCTTGAGATCATGGCCGCTACTCCTGCAGCCCTGGACGGCCTGGATTTCTCCAAGGCAAAGAGCGAAACTGTTCCGAAGTTTGGCTGGGGTGGCGCTCGGCGTGGGAACACCTACGAGGAGCTGGCAGCTAAGAGTAAGTGTGTTTCGTGCTGTACTTGCGCCATGCTTTCTGTTGCTGCATTGCTTTGCATGGGAGCAGCATAGCATTCTCTGCCATGTGTTACATTCTAACCATCTTGTGCGGATAGGAGCCCTTGCTATGACAATTGTTGAACCTGCTTCCTCGTTTGTGTTGCATCCTTGCAGAGGACACAAATGAGCAGCCCTCTGCCGATGACAGCCAGAAGCGCAAGTCAAGGCGAGCAGTGGGGAGTGCAGGCCCGGGAAATACAGGCCCGGGAACTGCAGGCCTGGGAAATACAGGTCTGGGAGATCATCCCAGTGGTCCGGGGTCTCTTGTCGAACCGATGGCGAGTGCTCAGGATGTGCCAGGTGGTTGCGCTGAAGCCACTGCTGCAGTGGATGTGTGTGTGGCTGAGAGGGAGCCTGTGGGGAATGCTGCGGCGTATATCACGGTGCCCGTGCCAGTGGAGCTGGTTGATGATGAGGCGGAGCATGGTGGGATGGATTCTGGGCGATCAAGAAGTGGCGGGGGGGAGACGACGGGTTTTGCAGCTACTAGTGAGGTTTCTTTGCTGCGTATGCCTTCAGTGGCTTCAGGGAATGGTTTAACGCAGGATGTAGAGGTGGGACAAGAGGGCGTGTAAGAGGAAGGAAATGATTTGTCCTAGCCATGCGTTGTTATTCAATAGTACGTCTTTATCAACATAACTTCAAGGTACGATGGTTTAGTTGGATTGTGTTGTGTAGGTAATATAATCCATTCAGTATAGCTTGCGAAATACACTCTCGATATCAATTCAATCAGAGCAATGCTCTCCCACCGATTTCGCCGCGTTCTTCGCACCCCAGAGTTTTCGTTGGAATGCATCCATCCCATTCCACCCCACCAAAGCCTCTTTCCCTCTTCTCACACAGCCACCCAAATCCCATCCTTCCCCTCCTCACATCCCTCACATCCCTCACCCCCCATTCCACATCCGCCCATGCCTGTGCCTTCATGCATCCATCCCGCCCTGCCTGTTCCAATCCCGAGACACGCATTCACTTCAGCCGCTCACCCTACTCCGCCTCATCGAACCGAAACCCACCGCATCAAATCTCGGGTCGTTGTTTTCGATGGGCTTCTGTCAGCTCTTCCTTAGGGTTTCACGGGCTTCGTTATCTTGAAGACTTGGTAGAACCGCTTAGTTTCATTCGTCCACTCGTTTCCGTTTCTTGCAATCCTCCTGACTTCAAGCCCGCAGACATAGCCTTGATTCCATCCGTACTATTGTACCAGTCTATGACCTTGCTAGCGCAGTCCTTACTTTAGGTTTGGCCTCGTCTGCATACGCATCTGCACTTTCTTCCAACGACAGGCTTAGTAGGGTTGCAAGTTCGTCAGTGGACCGTTTCTCTTGCTTCTTTCGGTCTTTTCTCTCTACCTCGTGCTTCCCCTATTAGCCTTCGTCTCACGGTAATCGTACCCCCCTAACTTTGACTGATTAATATCCTCGTCTTTAAGGATGCCGGCGAAGGATCCGCCAGGCAGTCCGACCAAGTCGCGGAGCATCACCAAGACAGTCAATGGCAGCCATCAGTTCAACATCACTGGCTACTCGCTCGCCAAGGGCATGGGAGTCGGCAAATACATGTCCAGCGACACCTTTACCGTCGGAGGTTATAAGTGGGCGATTTACTTCTACCCGGACGGGAAGAACGCCGAGGACAACTCGCAGTATGTGTCGCTCTTCATCGCGCTTGCCAGCGAGGGAACGGACGTCCGTGCGTTGTTCGAGCTGACGATGCTCGACCAAAGCGGGCGCGGTCGCCATAAGGTTCACTCACACTTCGACCGTGCTCTCGAATCCGGACCGTACACGCTGAAGTACCGGGGATCCATGTGGGGTTACAAGCGGTTCTTTCGCCGAGCGACGTTAGAGACGTCGGATTATCTCAAGGACGACACTCTCCAGATTACGTGCACGGTCGGCGTCGTTGTGACTGAAACGGAGGGTCCGAAGCAGCCGGTGTCGATACCTATCCCCCCCTCGCAGATGGGGAACGACTACGAGGTGCTTCTGTACTCGGGAGAGGGCTGCGACGTAACGTTTGACGTCGGAGATGAAACGGTGTCCGCTCACAGAGTCATCCTGGCCGCTCGTTCACCAGTCTTGAAGGCGTTACTGTACGGACCCATGCGGGACAGGCGGGAGGGAAACATCCCCGTTACAGACATCGAGGCTCCGGTGTTTAAAGCTCTCCTCCATTTCATCTACACCGACGACCTCCCGAGCTCCGGACCGTCCGCGTTCACGCCGATCATGGCGCAGCATCTGCTGGCGGCTGCGGACCGGTACGCGTTAGACCGGCTGCGATTAATCTGCGAGTCGAAGTTGTGTGAGACGGTGGATGCGGACACGGTGGCGACGACGCTGGCGCTGGCGGAGCAGCACAACGCGAAGCGGCTCAAGAACGTGTGCCTCCAATTCGCTGCGCAGAACCTCGCGAGTATGGACCGATAATTCCCGTCATCTTGATGGTTGCTCTCTGTTCTTATTTTTTATTCCCCCACCTCCCTCCCAAACCCCTCCCCCCTCCCACACACACACACCCGGTTTTACCATTCCACCCTTTTCCCCTCCCTTTTCTTGGTGTCCCGACACCCGTTTACTAACGCGTCTCTCCTCTCCCATCTTCCCTGTCTCTTCCTTGTCGCTGTGCAGGTGTGATCCAATCAGAAGGCTTCGAGCATCTACGAATCAGCTGTCCGTCCCTCCAGGCGGAGCTTCTTCAGGCGGTAGCAGGCGTGGGGAACAACAGTGAGATCATCGCTACAAGGAGGCCCGCTGATCCGAACTGGGCTGACGATTTGAATGCTGATGGCAGCGACCCTACAGGGAGGAGAGTCAGGCTCAGGCTGGGAAATTTGTGAATTGCTGTGGGACACTATACTGCGATTCTGGATGGCTTGTACACTTAACATTTCATGTGGAGTTTCTAATCCATTTCTTCCCTTTGTCGACCAGAAGGTCAGGATTCACCTCCAAAACAAGAAACAGATGTTGCCTACCAGCTCTTGGCTCATGTTGCTAGTGATGCGATGACAACTCACCAGGCCTGACGTTTCAAAAAAAACCCCCCTGAGCTGTCGACTAAAAAAAAACAAGAGGCGACGAGATCGTCTTAGGGTTGCGGAGCATTTCATGATGAGACTTTATTATACATAAAATGTTTTATTTCCATATCACAACAAACATTTGATTTTTATTTCACAAACTTTATTGGGCTGAGAAAAGCCCTTAGGATCTTTTGCAGAGACTAAGTCCCAGCTGTAGAGACTTGAGACTTGGAGTAGTGCAGCGGAAGTTGAGGTAGTTGAACCCTTGTACTAGTATGTGAGAACAAGTGATTAATTAAAGAAACAAGCATACAGCAATATATAGAAGATAAGAAAGCAGTTGTAGAATACAGTTACAGGAACGGTTTATCGAGTCGCACAGCGACTCGATTGCCGCTTCGGTTACCATCCGTGATGTTGTAACGGTCAGTCGCAACCTCCAGTTGCGACCTTTCGAGTCCTTTCGCATTCTTTGTCCGCCCCCTCGTGTAACCTCCGTTGACTCGCGTGCTCCCCTGTAATCTTCCTCGAGTACAGTGTTACACTTCAGAAACGCTTAAGTCCTTGAGATATTTCCAACACTCCCCTTCGTTTCTGGAGTGCTGGAGTGTTCAGATCCGGTGACATTTGTTTGCCCGGTTAGGAGCATGCAGTAGTCGAATTTTGCTTTCGCCAATTTCTTCGTCAGATAATCTGCGGCCATTTCTGTCGTCGGGCAGTAACTGAGTTGAAGTCTCCCCTTCGCGATTTCATCCTTGACGAAGAAGTACCGCAGGGCGATGTGCTTGGTTCGGTTGGCGAAGCCGTCCTTGTTCGCGATTTTTATCGCAGATTGGTTGTCGCAGAGGAGTGAGAAGGTGGGCAGGGTCGCGATCTTCGCTTCTTCGAGTAACTCTCGTAGGTAGAGTCCTTCCTTGGTCGCAGTACAAAGGGCGATATACTCTGCTTCAGCCGAGGATAGTGCGATTAACTCCTGCTTGCTCGACTGCCAGGAGATAGTTCCGATAGGTTCTAGTCGGTAGATGTAGCCCGTCCTAGACCGTCGATTTTCGCTGTCTCCCGCGTGGTCGGCGTCGACGTATCCGAGTAGTCGTACGGACGGTGTTGTTGCCTTGCTGTAGGTGAGCCCGATCGTCGGCGTGGAGACGAAGTAGAGTAGCGCTCGATTGAGTTCTTCGAGATCTTCCTGTTGCGGCTGCTTCAGATGTGTCGCCAGCTGACTCGCACTATAGGATAGGTCGGGTCGGCAGGTTACTGTTGCGAATAGTAGACAGCCGAGCTTCTGTTGATACTCCTGGATTTGTTTCGCGGGGAGTTTTGTGGAGGCGCTACTGTTGTTCCCGTAGCGGTAGGGAGTTGGGACCGCAGTCGGTGTTAGACCGAATTTCTTCGCGACGGTGCTTGAGTACTTTCCAGCGTGTAGGTAGAACGCCGTGTCGTCTTCGACGACGTTCAGTCCTAGGTACTACGTCACCTCGTCGGACACCGTGAGCGTCAGGTCCCTTTTCAGCTCCCCTTCGAACCAGGTGACGATGTCGGTGGTAGAACCGATGTAGAGCAGGTCGTCGACGTAGACGATGAGCAGAATGTAATCTCTTCCCTTCTGTAGTCGGTACATGCCTTGGTCATGTGGTAACTGTAGGAATCCGATTTTTACGAGCTGGCCGTGAAGGTGCTGCTGCCAGAGCCGTGGGGCTTGCTTGATCCCGTAAAGGGATTTTTCCAGCTGGCATACTTTTGAAGGGTCGTCGATGAATCCGTGGGGTTGTTCGACGAAGATTTCGGCGTCCACAGGTGCGTACAAGAAGGCGTTTGCAACGTCGATTTGCCGTAGTGGTAGTTTCTTCGTGGCCGCGATGGCGAGTAGGATGCGCAGAGAGGTGTGACGGGAGACTGGAGCGAAGGTTTCTGTGTAGTCGGTTCCGTATCGTTGATCGAAGCCTCGTACGACCCATCGAGCTTTGAATCGTTCGATGGAGCCGTCTGAGTTGGTCTTGATGCGGTACACCCATTTCCCCGAGAGAATGTTCTTCCCGTTGATGCTCGTTGCAGGTACCAGTTTCCATGTTTCTCGGTCTTGCAGAGCTTTTAACTCTTTTTCCATCGCTTCCTTCCATTGTGCCTTATGTTCCCCCCCCAGAGCCTGCGACAGGGTCGACGGCTCGCGCGGAGAAGGCGGCGGCGGGTGCTGGACGGAGACCCATAGTCCTAGGATCTGCAGTCCCGTGGCTGTGTGTCGAGGGGAGTTTTCATTCTCGGGATAAGCTGCTTCATCACCGTCTTCAGGATCGGGTAAGAAGTTTGGCCCGATGCGTTCGGAAATATTCGAGTCGACGGGGTGTGGTGTAGCGTAGCCTTGGTCAGCGAAGTGGTAAAAGGTGTCGAGGTTGTTGCTATCGAGGGGATTATCTTCATCGAGTGGAACAGGTACGGAGCAGTAGGGGAGTGGTCCGGCAGCCTCCGAGGCTCCAGGGACGTCTTCTTCTGCTGCGTCAGCCTCGGCAGCATGGTCAGCGAAGGAGCGAAGGCCCGCGAAGCCGTCGGTGGGGTCGTCTGAGTTGGCAATGTTGTCCAGGTAATGCTGCAGCGTCAGTCGCTCGTAGAAGATAACATCACGTGATGCCACTGTATTTTTGTCGTGTATGTCGAGAATCTTCCACGCGTGAAAATGTTTGGCGATGCCGAGGTGTAGTCCCCACCGAGCTCGTTGAGTGAAGCGTCCTGCTCGAGCTGTGTGGGGTCTGTATTGTACCATGCAGCCGAAAACTCGAAGTAATTTTGTGCTGCCCCTTTTTCCCGTCCACAGCAGGTGCGGTGATGCGTTGTTGGGGAGCGATGACGAGGACAACAGGTTGTGCAGGTGGACTGCATGTGTCATCGCGTCTGGCCACAGTGTATTGGGCAGTCTCATCCCCAGGAGCAGCTTTCGCATCGTCGTCTGCAAGGTCCGGTTCATGCGTTCGGCGACCCCCTGCTGCTGGTGAGCGTATGGTAGGGACACCAGGCGCTTGATTCCTCTTTCCGCCAGATAGGTCCTGAAGCGTTGTGACTGGTATTCTAGGGCACCGTCTGACTGGAAGCTTTTGAGCTTGGTTCCTGATTCCCGCTCGGCGATGGGGAGCCATGTTGTGAAGGCGTCGAAGGCTTGATCGCGCGTCTTGAGGTTGTAATGCCAAGTGTATCTTGTTGCTGCATCGACGAAGGTGATGACGTAGTTGAAGTCGGCTTCCGTGTCGTCTCGAGGCATGTTCAAGATGTCGCTGTAGACTTTTTCCATCGTTGCATATGCAGGCGCGCTTGGATTATGATGGGATGGGAAGGGTTGATGAGGAAGATCTGCTTCGGGGCACGTGAAGCATCGTGCTCTTGGTCGGCGAAGTTCTTGGCCGCTCGTCGTTAGAAGGGCGTTACGTTCTAACACCTCTGCTTGTATTGTTTGTAGTATCGTGCTGTTTGCAGGATGTCCGAGACGTTGGTGCCAGATGTCGTCGGGAGCGCGGTGACCGGGCGAGCGGTGGTAGATGTCGGCGTTGGAGAAGAACGCGACGACCGAGGCGGGACTTCGACAAGCTTCTCGTGTGGCGGGCATAAGTTGGTCTGCTTCCGTTGGCGGTCCTCGTGTTGATGGTGGTGGTACTCGGCTGGGTCCTGCTGCCGATACTGCAGGTGATGGTTTTGTTGGGACGCTTGCTGGTACTTGTCTTTCTTGTCTGATAACTGCTAATGCCCGTGTTCTCTCTGCTGCAGGTATGGTGTTGGAGTGCCAGAAGCCGTCACTGTCGAAGTCGGGATCAAGATCTGGCGGGTGAGTCCAGGCGGCGAACGATACGATGCCATCGCTGTCGGCAGTTCCGCGGTCGGGGACGAAGTCCAACACGAAGACACCGGACTTCAGGAGGGCACGACCGATGAAGAGACCGCCCTTCCCGTGGTAAAGTCGGAACTCGTTGGAGAAGGAGTCGCACTCCAGGTGAATCCCCTTAGCCATTAGTTGGCTTACGCTTAGTAGGTTGTATCCCAGATTGTCGATGATGAGGACTTTGTTGAGCTGAAGAATAACGTTTGTCTCCATTGATTGTAACTGAACCACGCCTTGTCTGTTTGTTTTCAGGTTTTCGTTGTTGGCGACGGTGATGACGACGTCGCGGTTGAGGCGTCGCTCGTGTTGTACGAAGCGTCCGGAGGAGCACATGTGCTGACCGCAGCAACTGTCCAAGAACCAGGTGTTCCGCCCGGTGGGTTCGGCGTTAGCGACTGCAGCGTATGTCGGGTTGACCTGAAGTCCTTGCGAGCGCGGCGGCGGGAATTCCTCTTCGTCTGGTGCGTAAGTGGGTGGTGAAGCGGGTGCGCAGTTGTCAATGTGTACCATGCAGTTGATGATGTTGGGTGTTTGTTGTGCAGATGTTGAAGAGCGCCTTGGAGGACTTGCTTGAGTGGAAGCGACTTGTGGATCTGCTGCACGGTAAACGCGAGGGCGGTTGCAGTTGACCTTGGAGTGCCCGGAAGTCTGACAGTTGTGGCAGAACGGCGGCACGATGGTGAGTCCTCGGTTGTCGCGTTGATCTTGCTTGCTGCGTCGGTTGTAGTTGTTGTCATTTCTTCTTTGAGTGTAGAAGACTAACTGCTGTTGCTTCCTTGGTTGTCTTTCCTCGAACAGATCCATCTCCTGTTGTTCAGCGTGAAGCTCGGCGCAGAGGTGCATCTCCGAAATTCTTCCGTGGGCTCGAAGAAGTGATCGTGTGGTTCTCCATTCTGGCCCGAGCCCGGCGAGGACAAGTGTCACGAAGCTTTCTTCAGTGATCGTTCCTCCGCACCGAAGCAGGCGGTCGCGGAGGGTCTGGCAGCGACTCATATACTGCATCGCCTTTTCCCCGGTCTTCATCTGTATTGTTGTCA